AGCGAAGACTGCGCGCTGCGCATTGCCGTAAGCGGCGAGGAGGACGATGCGACAGCGTCCATCGAGGCCGTCGAGGAGCATGCTGCCGGTGATGTCCCCATTATCGAAATCGTTGGAAGAAAACTCGGCCGAATCCGGGTTTATGATTTCGCCTCCTGAGCTCTCAAAGGCAGAGGTGAAGGCGTCCATGACTCCGCGACCCCACAGAGAATCGTCGTGAAGCACGCAGACGTGCCTCCACCCCAGCCGGTCTGCCAGTGCTGTAAAGCCGCGCTGCACGTACACGTCATTGGTCGAGGGACGCAAGAGGTTCGGGTGGGCGGACACGTTCGAGAGTCGGGGCGCGGTGGAGACTGGCGCGACCACCACCGTTGAGTAGCCGCTGGCGGTCCGCCAGCCGACATCTGTCACAGCGGCCACGTCATCCGAGCAGAACGGGCCGATCGATGCAACCATGCCGCCCAAATTGGCATCCAACTGATGGAACTGTTCTCGGACTTTGCCACTCCCACACGTTGAAACCCCCGACGTGGTCTCTAGCATTGAGACATAGAGTATGTGATTGGGCAAAAGCTCGTCCAGGAATCCGTCGGTCTTGTCGTTGATGCGCTCGACGGCGTGAAGTATGTGCTGGCACGTCTCGTACAAGCGAGACGTTGCAGGAGCGTCACAAAAAGCCCCAACGCGCACCGCACGATCGGGCGGCTTCTGGCGAGCCGAGCAGTAGCCAACGCCAGCTGCGCCAGTCTCGGCTTGTGGCAAGATCCTGCAGTAGGGGCGGTCCCCGCCTTCACAGGGAAAGTCTGTATGGCACAGGCTCTGTCCGTCGGAGTACATGCCCAGGAATGCAGCCTTGAACCCGCGGTGCGGCTGTGGATTGTTGCGGTCCGTCTCGAGTGTCAGAGTGAAGGGCGGCAGGCCGACAAACTCGAGAACCACGTTAAGCGTCGGGCGGTAGAAGCGAGAAGAGGAGTTGTAGTTTGCAAGGACAGCTCCCGTGGAATCAGCCACAGTAATTGCGTCCGTCGTCGACGATCGTATCCCAGAGGCGCTCGTCATAGGAGCCTCGAGGTCGAACATGGAGAACTTCAGGAGAAGCCCAGTGAGGTTGAGCGCACCCGTCTCGCGCGATGTGAAGGTCGACGGCACGTCCAACACCCAACGGCACGCCACTGTTGGCAGGTAGTCAATCTGGCTGTCGTGTATCGCTTGCAGCGTGCCAGCAACAGCTCCATGGCCGCTGCTGAGGCCGAAGCAACGGTCAAACGAGCACGCTGGGCCGTATGCACCGGCGTCGCATTGGCACTCGCCTGCGACGCAGCTTCCGCGGCCAGAACAGTCCGCGTCCGTCTCGCAGGCGGCCTGCTGGGCCGACCACGCCAGCTCGAAGCCGCTGCCGCTCCGGACGCCGTCGCTGGCGAAGGCGACGAAGGCAGGAGTCCGGACAGCGAGAGTCGCGGTGGGTAAGGCGCCGAAGGTGGCGAAGAGGAAGTCGTCCTCTTTCATTGCGCTGGCAGCGGCGGAGAACGAGGTAGGGACGCCACCCTCATAGACGCGGATCTCGTCAAAGCCGAGCTCGAGGTCGATGCTCGAGAGGTTGAGCGCGACGAAGGGTGCACCGCCGCCAGTCAGCAGCCACCCGCACCTCGAGTAGGGGTCGTATCTGCCCGCCGCTGTAGCACGCACCACGCCCTCTGCCTCGGCGAGCGTCACCACGCCGTTGCACGACTCCAGCTCGCACGATGAGCCCGCGTAGCCCGCGTCACAGCGGCATCCGCAACTGCCGCCAGCCAAGTCGGCTACGCCGTGCAGGCCGCAGCTGGGGCAGTCCGACGCATCGCCCTCGAGGCTGATCGACGCGCGAAACCCGACGGCGGAATAGGAGCCCAGCTGCGACTCGTCGTGGCTGTCTGTACGCCACCGCAAGTACAGCGCGACAAAAGCGCCGAGCGCGGGGACCGACAGCTTCCGGTCATTTGTGAGCGCCGCGCCGACAGCAGAGGCGTCCGCGAGGGTGGTGCTGGTCGCACACGCGCGCACCGTCGCGTTTGGCTGCGAACCGCGACCCGTGAAGGAGGATATTAGCAGGCCGGAGGAGGAGAAGACCTCGAGGACGTCATGCGGCGGCTCCGAGGAGAGGAAGGGGAGGCGGAGCTCGACGCACTGAGTCGGCTCTGCCACCGCCACCGCCCAGACGCACAACTCATCCGTCCGGTACGCGCCACCTCTGCCCCCGGCGTCGGGCGGCGGCCAGCGTGACGCTAGGATGGGTGCGCGTGTCGCGTTGACCACCTCGACCGCCCATCGCGCGCATGGGGTGAAGACACTCTCTTGCTGGAGAGGTGCGAGGGGGGAAGCACGAGGTCCGTCGCCGTCGAAGCCCGAAGCAGCGCCCAAAGCGAGGGCAGCCTCGAGGAAGGAGGCGTTGAAGTATGCGCGTTGGAGGCGCTGAAGCGTTGTATTGCTGGCGTCCGGGATGGAGGCGAGAACCTTTTGGGAGAACATAAAGCCCGCCTGCTTCTGAATCTGCGCCGCCAGGTAGCTCTGCTCCTAATAAGAAAAAGAAACCCCTGAAGGTAGAGAGAGGGGTGATGGGAGCGTCCCCACTGCTCTGCTCCTGCAGCTGCTCCTCTGCAGTCGGGTACTCGTACATAGCAACGCGCCGCGCCACGTTCTCGAGAGTGGCGCTAGCATTGTAGTCATCGTACAACGTCACAAAGGCGGAGACGAGGCGGTTGTATTCCCCGCCACGCGCAGCCCATCGCCCGAGCCCCGAAGCGAGCCTGTAATCGGCGTTCGCGCGCACTACCCCTGTCACCAGCCTCTCCACCAGCGCCTCGTTCCCGCCAGCTAGGAAGGCGTTGCTCACCGCCAGCACGTTTAGCGTCTCGTACCCCCATTTTGCCACCATCGACGCGGTGATCATCTCATGAGCAGGCTCGCGCGAACAGCCGGAGGGCGGATCCCCACCCCAAGGCGTCGAGGTGAGGATGGCGAGCGTGTTTCCCCAAACCGCGGCGCCATCGATGCGCCCTTCCGCCCAAGCCGTCTCGATCGTCAGTGGCGATGTGGTGACGACAGTCACGATATCGAAGCCAACGTCAGCGCCAGCAGGAGGCAGCTCCATCCTCTCCACGTGCTCCAGGTTTGACTCGACCAGCCCTGCGAGAAGTATGTAGTGCGCTGTGGAGTATCGCGGCGTGGCGATCACCGTGCCGCGTAGGTCTTGTGGGCCCTGCAGCCCGCACCTCACCACCAGCGCCTGCGCAGCGCCCTTATTGTGCAGGACAGCCACCGCGGTGAGCGCTGCGCCACGAGCGATCGCAGTGGAGTAGGGCGTGGAGCCCAGCATGGCAATGTCGAGATCGCCCGAGTCAAGGTGCGCGACCGACCGGCCTCCCGATTGCTGGCGGTGGTACACGAGGCACACGTCGTCGTCGTCAAGCCACTGCGACGATGCCAGCACATCATACGGGTTTGCCTCGTCGAACGTGCCTACTCGGACGCGCTTGCACGCGGACGGCGCTGTCGAAGCGCAGACGAGCAACGCCGGCAGCATATACACACTCACGTGTGGACGGCCGAGTCCGACTTTTCTTCGATGTTTCACCCCCCCACCTATCCTGATCCTGTTGCCATCTCCAACAAAGTTCTCTGGACAGGGTGGCCCGCCACAAGGACCCCAGGAATTGCGACTCGCCGCTTTCCTCCCGCTGTGATCCTGTGTGAGCTCTGTGTCTTGATTTGCCAACAATATACCTAATAACAAAGTTGACTTGCCAACAATATACAATATAACAAAGCTCAAAGGACAAAGCCAAAAAGGCGGTAGTCTACGAGGGTCGGGGCGATTCGTCGAGGCGATCGTTCATTCGAAACGCCCTCTATACATGTAGCTGCGAGACGTGGAGTTTGACCGAGGAGCTCTACCGGCGGCTGCGCTGCATGCATGCCCATCCATCAATCACTTACGTACGAGTAAAGGTAAGTAATTGTGCCGGGTGTCGCGCAGTCGCGCAGCCAGCGCTGGCGTGCGAGCATCTCCATCGAGTTGTCCGGGAGTACCCGGGTGGACCGGAGGCAGCAGCGGCAGCAGCAGCAGCAGCAGCAACAGCAGCAAGCAGAATGTCCTGCGCCTGCCTGGGGAGGGGGGGGGTGCCGCGCCGAAACACGTCGAAGGTGACAGCAATAGCTAGCAACGCGCCGTCGACGGGCATCGTGTCCACGAAGTAGACGCTCTTGGGCGCGCCGTCCTCATCCAGCGTGTAGAGGACCACGTCCATACCGTGCCGCGTGGTGGGATCGAGCAGGAAATCAGAGCAAGAGTCAACCCAGAGCAGACACAAAGCTTGCACAATCGAGTCCCGCAAGCGTGCTCCTTTTGGCGATTTTTCTTTTCATCTAGGCGCGATTACGGAAGGGGAATAATAAACACCTCAACCTGAATTACTCTCAACCTACTGCTCCACGAGACGTTCGGCGACGACCTTCTTCGGGGCCTCCTCTTTCTTTTTCTCGCTCACCGTTCTTTCTTTCTCACGCTGCGCCGCCTCGCGCGCAAAATCGCGCACGGAAGCGTCGACCGCACCACCTTCTCATCCAACTACCCATCTATTCCCGACAGTCTGCGTGACAGTTAAGAGAAAAAAGTAAAAAAGTGCACGCGGCGAAGGGTGCCCTTCCACGCGAGCTGCTCGAGTCCGTCGCGCCTCACGGCTTGGGAGTATTCTTCAAGGACAGTGCTCATGCGTCTCGCCTCAGCCGCGTCCTCACCCGCACCGCCAGCGCCGTCACGCCTCGCGAGGACGTCCACGCTCGCGCTTCTCCTGCTTGTGGGCAGCGTCGAGTCGTACCAGGGCACGATCTGCGACAACACTCAGTACGGAACATCGCTGTGCGACGGCACCTTTTGGGGCGCCGAGGTGGTACTGGACGGCCAGCGCATCTCGGGGACCATCCCTCCGCATATGATCGACAACGCCCGGGCGGGGCTGACGAAACTCCACCTGGACAACAACGAGATCTCGGGGACCGTCCCTCCGACGACGGGCGAGCTCTCGGAGCTGCAGGAGCTTCGGCTGGACAACAACGATCTCTCGGGCACCATCCCTCCGCAGCTGGGCGGCATCTCGTGGTTGAACCAGCTTTGGTTGTACAGCAACAAGATCTCGGGCACCGTGCCGTCGCAGCTCAACAACCTGCCGCTCACTGCGTGCAGGCTGGGCCGCAACCTCTTTGCCTGCCCCCTGCCCGCCCTTCCCGATTGCTGCCTCGAGCCGGTCGGCGGCTTCGATCCTCCGGAGTGCAACTACCTGCCGCCGCCCTCGCCGCCGCTGCCTCCGCCGCCGTCCAGAGAGATTGTCATCGGCACCACAGCAAAGCACTGGGCGCAGATCCCGTCGATGCCGCGCTCGTACTCTGTCGAGGTTGGCGACACGCTTGTCTTCATCTACCCGCTTTGGGACGTCGACGTGTGGAGCATGCCCTCCAGCGCGTGCGACTTTGCCGCCGCCGGGTTCGAGTACGGGCCAATCCTGCTGGCGAACTCCTCCCACGGCGGAGGCACGGGCGCTGGAAAGTCGAACCGATTCGAGTACCCGATGGCGGACGTGGGGACCTTCTACTTTGCGTCCCGCACCTTCTGCAGCGAGGGCCAAAGGATCACCGTCTTCGTCAGCCACCGCCCCCCGCCCCCACCGCCCACCTTGCCCCCGCCGCCCACCTTACCCCCGCCGCCGCCCTCGCCGCCTCGGCCGCTGGGCGCGCCGCCCGCCTCGCCGGCACCACCGTCACCCGACACCGGCGGCGGCGGGCCCAGCACTAATTACCTCGTCGGCGTCTTTGTCGGCGGGTTCAGCGCCGCGGCCCTCCTGGTGCTGTGCCTGCTCGCCAGGCTCAACCTCCTCCGGTGCCAAATGATCTCGCGCTCCGCAGAGCCCAGGGTGGTGAGCAGAAGCGCCGGTCCCGACTCGATACGCGCGGGCGCGCTGCGCCAGGCCGCGAGGGAGAAGGCCGAGAAGCAGAAGGGCTCGAAGAGGGCGTCCAGGCCAACGGACGCCGATATCCCGCGCAGCAGCGAGATTATGCTCCCCGATCTCCAAGGCTAGCTGTCCCGCGGGGTGAAGGACCTCTCTATATGAATGTGACTTGTGAGCGCGAACAACAGCATGAGAGATGAGAACTTGAACACGACTCACGAGATGGCGGTCCCCGTTCGAGATGTCATGGCCTCTCAATACAAATTCAAGATTATGTGAACATCACAGGCCAGCGCACAGCGCCATAGGAGGTATTTTCTTCTCAATAACAAGGCTGTGAAAGGTGCGGTTTGTTCCGAAATGGAACGTTCCGAAATGGAACTGTACTTCCTACGCAGACTTGTGTGGAGGCTCAACGCGTGCTTGAGGTATCGGTGGAGAGAAGCGCCGCCCCCGGGCACGCACCCCAACCTGGTGGAAGCTCTTTGGCCAACTACCCCCGGCGGCTGCAAGCTGACCTAAGTCGCACCTCCCTCGCCGCGGTTCCCGCCCAGCGGGGGCGGCGCAGCATCACGGCGCCGGCCATATCGGCCGCCGGGAGACACGGCCGCCGTCGCTGTCGCCCGCGGTTTTACGTGGTGCCCAGCCCGCCCGGCGCGCTTAGCGTCTCTGAGCTCTCCCCCTGCCCGCCCTCGCCGCCCTCGCCGCCCTCGCCGCCCTCGCCGCCCTCGCCGGCCGGCGCCGTCTCTGCTGCTGCCGCCGCGGCCGCGGCCGCCTCGGCCGCCGCCATCGCCGCCTTTTTCCATGGTGTGGAGGCACGGTTTTTATCGACGCAGCAGATGCAGGTGACGGTTCCGGCCGGCGTGACGGTGGGCACCATGTTTCAGGTCAACACTCCGACAGGGCCAATGCAGGTCATCGCTCCCGTCGGCGCAGGGCAGCAGATGATTGTGAACGTGCCCGCGGCGCCGGCGCCAGTGGTCACAGCGACGGCGGTACCTGCTATGGGAGCCCCTGTGGTGGCGGCCGTTCCTGTCAGCGATGCGCCGTTGGTGATAGCAACGCCGGTGACACCAATGCAGGTGGCACCGACACCTCCGCCGCAGACGCAGCAAATGACGCGAACGGTGGCCGAAACTGCTGCCGGTGGGTCGCAACCACTGTGGTCGGCGCAGGAGTTAAACGGCTGCTGGATCAACTGCTACCCTAATGACTATGCCTGTTCCATCGCAAGGATGACAAACGAGGGCGACGACGTGAGGATAGGGACCGGCGTCTGCTGCGTTCTCTTAATCCCTTGTCCTTGCCCTTGCGGCGAGAGGTGGCTGCGCGAGGAGGGCACCAACAACTTCTACAAGTCGGACCATGTCGACAAGTTCACCTCCAAGACGAGTATCGAGAATGGGGCGGCGTGCTCGAGGAAGATCTGCTGACGGCCTCGGCACACGGTTTACCTGACAGCAAGGCGGCGGCGCACAAGGGATCGCACGCACAGCGCGTCACGCGCAAGGCAAGGGATATCACGAAGCGTGCGACAGGTGGATTGTGTGCGCGGTACTACGTATACGTAGTAGTTCATAGCGAGTCAGAGCATCCACTTGCCTACTTTGGAAAGCCGCTCACCCTATCGGCGCTCGCCGAGCCGCGCTCGCTTAGCCGACGACCGTCCGGCCATGGTTCGGCTCACGCGCGCGCGCCACCGACTCGTCCGGCTTCGAGCCCCACGCCGTCGGCCGCGCCGCCGCCTATCCAGCCTGCGCGATGGCGGGAGATGCGAATTAACGCGCGGAGGCGTGTGCGTGGGGAGCTTGCGAGAGCGTGCAGAGATGATGCGGTTGGAGTTGCAGGCCGCGGTCGGGGTACAAGGCGCTCTGCGAAGCTGGCTACCCGACCGACATGCATCTGGCAGTCCGCGAAAGCTGTCAAAGCCCCAGACGCGGTGCACGAGCGACCGCTCTGTCAAGTACGGATCTCCCCCCCGCATGGGTACCCTCTAGGGCCCCCGCCGCCCGCGCCCCCCCAGAGGGTTTGTACGTGAGTTGGGTGAAATGTGTCATTCCGTGATGGAAGTCATCTCGTTTCGCGTTGACATGTTCGGCAAAGGTACAACTCTAAGGGGGGCAAGGGAGGCGAGGGCAAAGGACAAAAAGGCGGTAGTCTACGAGGGTCGAGGCGATTCGTCGAGGCGACCGTTCATTCGAACGCCCTCTATTGCTGCGAGACGTGGAGTTTGACCGAGGAGCTCACCCCGGCGGCTGCGCTGCATGCATGCCCATCCATCAATCACACAACAAAATGACGCGTGAGTGTTAGAGTTGTTTGGTATTGCTAAAAATCTCTCTCTCTCTCAATCACTTACGTACGAGTAAGTAAGTAATTGTGCCGGGTGTCGCGCAGTCGCGCAGCCAGCGCTGGCATGCGAGCATCTCCATCGAGTTGTCCGGGAGTACCCGGGTGGACCGGAGGCAGCAGCGGCAGCAGCAGCAGCAAGCAGCAGCAAGCAGAATGTCCTGCGCCTGCATGGGGAGGGGGGGGGTGCCGCGCCGAAACACGTCGAAGGTGACAGCAATAGCTAGCAATGCGTCTTCTCTTCTGCGTTGCTCTCCTCCTCGCTCCGGCGTCGGCGCTGCTGCGCCAGCCGGCGCTGCTCCGCACGGCGCCGGCCGCCGCGCCCCTCCGCGCGGCCGCCCCGCAGATGATCCTCGGGAGCAAGACCTTCCGCAAGGCGGTCCTGAGTGTGCGCCGCTCCTCCACGATTAAGGGATGCTCGCCGGGTGACGGCAGCGTGGGCGGTGGCAGCGGCGTGGGCGGCGGCAACGGCGCGCAGATGTCGGCCGGCGGCGACGACGACGAGAGCAACCCATTCGCCAGCGCGTGGAAGAAGTACAACGAGCTGCTCGACGAGAAGCCGCTCCTAATGAAGGCATTCACGTCCTTCCTCGGCTTCGCCATCGGCGACATCCTGGCCCAGATCTTCATCCAGAAGCAGGACTTCGACTGGTGCGCTCGGGAGCGCGCGGGGGTTTGGACCGCACACCCATCTCTTTGCGCGCCTGAGCGGGCGGCGGGAGTGGACGCATTTGGCGGGCCCGCGCACGTACAAGTTTTGCTCAGCAAGACCTCCATGTCCCCAGGTACCGGCTCTTCCGCCTCGCCAGCTTCGGCTTCCTCGTGCACGGCACCTCGTCGCACTGGCAAGCCCGCCCCCCCCTCTACTCCCCCAACGGATGTTTCGCCGGGCCGCCCGACGCTGCCACGCCGCTTGTTTGGAAGGTTCTACGGGATGCTCGACAGCGCCATCCCCGGCAAGGGCGCGCAGCCGGTCTTCACGAAGGTCTTCATCGACCAGGCCCGTGCGCCTCCCTCCTCCCGCCGCTCCCCTCCCTCCCCGCGCCGTGCCGCCCCCCTCCCCCGGCGCCCGCCCTCCACGCGCTGACGGGCAGGAGGCGACCAGCACCCGAGGGGGGCGGCAGAGAGGGAGAGGGAGAAAAGGGGTCTGCGGTGGCGCTCGTGGCGCGGGGATGCGTCCCAGCGTCAGCGGTGGCGCCCTCGGAGAGGTCGGAGACGTCGCCGCCCTGCGCCGTGCTTCGCCTGCTCACTCCAGTCGCCGGGGGCCAGGTGTTGTGGAACCCAATTTTATTTTATTTTATCCAGGTGCTGTGGAACCCAATTTTGGGCATCATGTTCTTTTCGTACGTCGCGTGCCTCGAGTGGAAGGGCCTGCAGTACGTCATCGACAAGACCCGCAACGAGCTGTTGAGGCAGGGGCCCTCTTTTCTTCCTCCCCCCCCCCCCCCCTCCCCCCCTCACTCTCCCCCTGTGACCCCCGACCCGCACCGTCCGCGCCGACACGGCGCACCCCGACACACCTCTGAGCGCGCCAGAGGCGGCCCTGGGCGTGGGCACGCATGCCACGGCGCGACGCCCCCCGCCGCCCGCCCGCGGCAGGTGACCGGCAGCTGGAAGGTCTGGCCCCTCGCGCACGCCATCAACTTCCGCTTCATCCCCAGCTCCCAGCGCGTCCTCTACATCAACAGCATCCAGATCGGCGGGCGGCGCCGCGCCGCCCCCCCCTCGCGGCGCGAGTCGTCGACGCGTCCCCGGCACGCCCGTAGGCTACAACTGCTTCCTCTCCCTCATCTCGAACCGCGACGCCGAGGCGGCGTAGGCTCGGCGGCGCCTCCTCGCGGGGGCGGCGGGCTGCGGCTCCGACAGGCACCGCGTCTCGCTCCAGCGCCAAGCCTTCTGCGTGTTTGCGATTGCGCCTGCGAGGCGGGCCGTGTGGGAGCGACGAGGATTACGACATGTGCATGCGACGCATCGATGGTCCTTGTTTTCATGCTCGACGGCGCCACACTTGGGCAGCCACGTATAGCATACGCGCTCGCGCAGTGAAACCACCCCGGGGCCAACCGTCTTCGGTTTCGTCGCCAAGAGTGTACTCTTGGGCCCCGAACCCAAATAAAAAACGTGTACCCCCCTTCGAGTGTATCTCTTGAGTGTTGCTCTGGAGCGTCCGGTTCAACACGCGCTCGCGCGCTCGCGTCTGCTGGCGCCCAGAGAACGTGTTGCACCACGTGCTCCCGGCGGAGCCCAACTGCTCGCACTCGACAAGGCAGTCCATCCACTCGCGGCAGCTGAAGTCGAACTTCCACTCAATGCGGCTCGCGCCGGGTTGTGAGCTCGGCGAGCGAGGTCGGAGAGCGACCTCCAGTTGGCCCAAGCCGCACGCCACTGAGGCAGAGCGGCCGTGCGCGTACGACGCCGTACGCCCCCTCCACTCTGCACCGACCGCAGCGCTGCAATTGCGACCGCAGTGGCTCAGCTCAGCCAGGGCTCGCCCGAGCTCGGAGCCGCCGGCGGTCATGGGCAGCAACAAAGGTTTGACGCGTCGCTCGGTGCAGGAGGGCACTGCAGTGGAGGTGCAGCGGCCGTCCGGCGCGCGCGCGATGGGCTGCAGCTTCATTGGCAGCTACCAGAGCGCGTCTGGAGCGCTGTCATTGTGTGACCCACGTCCAAGCGGCGCTTCCGGCCTGTTCCGCGCCTCTTTTTACGCTTTTCATTGGAGAGGGGGGGACGAGGTCTCATCAACTTCGAAACCGCCTTTGAAAGGGGGGAAATGCGTCCGTCCCTGAGAGGGTTGGGAAGGGGGTGGTTTCACTGCGGAGAGCTACGCGCCACACGGAAGGGGCTCTGCGCGCAGGTAGCGGATTGCGGTTCCGCAGCAGTCTGTGTATGAAATCCAGATATGAAATCCAGAAACTTGCTCAGATAAAACGGGGATAACACGGATGCAGTGCGCGCGCGAGCGCGCGAGACGTGAGACTCGCTCACCGCACGACTCTCTCGCTCCCCCCACCCGACTGGGTCCGCTACACCGTCCGCAGACCGCACCGGCCGACAGCGACACCACACAAAAGACCAACCGGCGCGCCGCGGGATCCGGGAACTGGTCTCGCGCACACACACCTCCCAGGGCTCGACGAACCGCGCGCCGGTCCGGCACTCAAGACGCGAGGCTAGCTCCGCCTTCCCCCGACCCTCATCCCAACCATCTATGACGGACGGACGCGTCGCCCGCCCGCCGTACCCCCCACACCAACCGCACGGCCCGAGGGGCCTTGCGCGCGGGCGGCGCGGGGGCGGCGGGCGGACGGCGGGTGTCCCGCTCAGCGCCCGTTCGGAGAGCTTCAGTCGAGCTCCATTGGCTGCTTGGCGGCCTCCTTGGTCTCCTTGGTGTTCACGAGCTGCTTGACGGTCTTGTTGATCGAGCCGTCCGACATGACGAGCATCTTTTTGTTGAGCGCGCGGTCGTCGAAGCCCATCTCGGCGAGGTCGTCGAGCATCGTGTCCCACTCCACCTCGGAGAGCGCCGTCAGGGCGGTCACGCACCGCTCGAGGTTGACGCCCTCGGCGCCCGTGTTCTTGTCGACAACGCCGCGGACCAGCTCGGCGTCCTCAAAGCCCATGGCCGCGAGCTCTGCCGCGGCAACCTCCTTCAGGGCGGACGCGTCGCGCGTAGCAGCCTGGACCGCCTCGGCCGCCTCGGCCGCCTCGGCCGCCTTGCGAGCTGCCTCGGCCTCCTTGAGCTTGGTCGTCGCCTCGGCCGCCTCGGCCTCAGCAGCCTGGGCGACAGCGAGCTCCGCAGCGAGCTTGGCCTCGTCCTTGCGAGCCGCCTCGGCCGCCTCGGCCTCCTTGTGCGCCGCCTCTGCCGCCGCGGCCGCCTTGCGAGCCGCCTCGGCCGCCTCGTTGGCGGCGCCCTCAGCCTCGGCCCGCGCCTCGGCCGGGGCCTCTTGGTTGGGCGCGAAGAGCGTCTGCTCGCCGACGGGCACTCCGGTGCGCTCCTCAATCATGCGCTTGAGCGTCTGGACGTCGGTCGACTCGTCGACGCCCTCGAGCGTCAGCGCGCCGTGCGGCCCGTGCACGACAACGCGGCGGCCCGCCGACGGCGCCTTGGCGCGCTCGTCGTCGTCGTCGTCCGCCTCGTCCTCGTCGCCGTGCGGCAAGGTGCGCGCCGACGCGAACATCGCGACATCCTCCGCCGACGGCTCCTGCACGGGCCCGTCCGGGTCGGCCACCACCTGAATGTGCACCCACACGCGCTGCCCAAACTTGCGGCGGCCGTGCGGGCCGGTGAGGCGCCAGTAGCCGACGTAGCGGCCCGGCTCGGCGGGCGCGACCATGTCGACCGCCACATCGACGGCCGCGCCCGGCAGCACGGGGCCGATGTCGGGGAGGTCGACGGCCGAGTCGGCGGAGAGCTGGTCGCCGCCGACGAAGGTGAGCTTGCAGCCCGGCATCCACGGCACGGTGCCGGAGTTCTTGAGGCGCCAGATCTTGGTGAAGGCGGCCCGCGGGGCAACCTCGGTGCCCTCGTGCACAGACACGTCAGAGACGAAGCGCGCCGCCAGACGGCGCGGGTCGCCGTCCGCGCCGTGGCCGGACTCGCGGTGCGGGTGGCACGCCCGCCGCCCGGCGGGGGCCCACGGGGGCGCCCACCGCTCTCCCGGGCCGCCGCCTCCGAAGCCGCCGCCTCGGAAGCCGCCGCCCCACGAGCCGCAGCGGCCGTAGCCTCCGCCGCGGCGCCACGGGCCGCCGCGGCCGCACGGCGGCGGGATGGCGCAGAAGCGGAGCTTCTCCGCCTCGGGGAGCTTGTCGTACTCGCCCTGGCGCGGAGGGGAGGGGGGGGGGGGGGGGGCGGTCACGGATGTGTCCTCGGCTAGAGATGTACTCCGCGGCTGTGCCTCGGCTAGGCTAGGTCCCTCAAACCTGGCAAAGGTCGTAGTCGTGGCCCGAGAGGTGGTAGCGGATGCCGACGATGGGGGACATGCCGCTCTTGTCGCACGTCACGCCCGGGTGGAAGCCGGTCGCGTCCGAGGGCGGCGCGGCGGCGCCGGCCTTGCGCCGGAATGCCACCGGGTGGATGGCGCGGTAGAGCGGCTTGAGGTCGGCGGACAGCTTCTCAAACTCCGCCTCGCACAGGTCGTAGTCGTGGCCGATGAGGTTGTACCGGAGCCCGACGATGGGCGACATGCCGGAGCGGTCGCACGTCACGTTCGGGTGGTAGCCTTCCCGCTCCGGGTCCGACGCCCGCGCCGCCGCCGCCGCCGCCGCGCCGGCCGCGGCGTCGGACGCCTTTGCGGCCAGTCCCGACGCCAGGCGGGCGGCGTGGGCGGCGGCACCGAGGCCGGTGGCGTCGGCGCCGGAGGCGGATGAGGCGCCGCGAGACGCGTCGTAGGCGGCATGGTTCGCCGCGTCTGACTCCGCGTTGTCGAGCTCCATCTGCGAGAGGATGCTCTGGAGGGGGGGCGGCAACGCGCTCATGACTTGCGGGAGCGTGTCGGCCAGGTTCTGGAAGAAGACGTGCGGGTTCAGCTCGGCCGGCGCGGGGGGGGCGTTGGCGCCGCCCTGCGGCGCGGCGTCCGGCGCCGAAGGCGCCGCCGGGGGCGGCGAGGTGGTCGGCGGGGAGGGCCGCGCCGCGGCGGGCGAGAGCCCCTCGACCAGCTTGAGGCGGAGGACGGCCGGCTCGGTCTTGAGAGCGAGGGAGACGGCCTCCTGCAGCTCCTCGTCGGTCGAGACGTTGATGTCGTCGTCCTCGTCGTCCTTGTAGGTCAGGTAAAACTTGGGCGTCTGGAAGTTGTCCGCGACGCGCTTCTGGATCGATGCAAACGTGAGGTGGTCAGCCCGTGCCGTCCAGCGCCGGGTCTGGTTGTTGCCTGAGATCTTTACGATGACGGTCGCCATCTTGTTCTGGGACTCTTGTTCGGGGGCAGGGTCTGGGCCGCTGCCTTCTTTCTCTGCGGGGGAGGGGCGGGGCGAATCGTTAGATGGCGGTGTGCACGCGAGCGGGATCGCGAGATTAGCTCGTTGTGAGGGGAGGGCTGGGCGGGCGGCGGGTGTGGACACGCTGGCTTGGCGCGGGCGGCCCCACGGGGTGGGGCCCGGCGGGAGAGTGGAGCGAGACACTTGAGAGTGGCCGGACCTGCGCTGGGCTCTTCTGGGCTCTGGACGACTCTCGATGACTCCCTGCTCTTTTTCTTTTTTCGGAGTGCTGGGGGGGGCGAAAGGGAGAACGTGGCCCTGAGTTATGTGTACGCCAACTCCGGGTGTGTGGCAGCCAGCTGGCTGTGACCTGTGTGTCTTGTGAGCCTGTTTTGTGTCTGTGTGTCGCTCGTGCGTGTCGTCATCATCTGTCTAGCGTCCACCCACATCGTACCGCGTTGGTGTCCAGTCGCAGTCCGAGCCTGGCTGTTCTCTTCACCTTCCTAACTAACTTGTAACTATAACTAATCTCACTCAATTTTTTAACAAAGTGGCAAAATCTGAGGCGAAACCGAGGACATTTTTACTCTCTACTCTTCTCCCTCGCTTGCCACCGCGTGCAGCAGCACAAGGCGCGCAAACTCAAAGACAGCGCCGTGAGCGTGAGAGAGCGCGAACCAACTGCAACTCCCCTACTGCGTCTCGCGCGCGATGGCGAAGCCCAAGACGCAGTGGCCAAAGTCGAGCGCCGCGATGCCGTTCGTGGCTCCGGCCGAGTCGAGGTGGTACCGCTCGTGGATCTCGTAGATCGAGCGGACGAGGAGCGCCGCCCGCGCGCGGGCCGCCGCGGGGAAGAGCGAGTGGCTTGCCGGCGACCACGGCGCCGCCGCCCGCCGAACCAGCGCCGCCGCCTCGCCCTCGCCGCCCGCGGCGCGCCGCAGCGGCGTCGGCTCGCCCTCGTGCAAGCTCGCGCCGCTGCGCAGGAGGGAGGTGGCGCGGGCGGCGGTGAGGGTCTCAAGGTGCGCGAGCGGCGTCCAGCCGCGGCTGGCGACCAGCCAGGCGGCGAGGTCGGCGTGGCCTTCTTCGGTTGCGACCTCCTCGGGCGTGCCGAAGGGCGTAGCGGCGCGGGAGGCGCCGTAGGAGGAGAGGAGCTTGGCGACCTCGAGGTGGCCGTCCTGGCACGCCGCGAACAGCGGCGTGGCGCCTTGCTCATCGGCCTGGTCGATCGCTGCGCCCGCCTCGAGAAGCAGCCGAACGCACTCGAGGTGGCCCTCCTGGCACGTGATGAACAGTGGCGTGGTGCCGTCGTTGCGGGCTTGGTTGACCGCCGCGCCAGCGTTGCGCAGCAGCCGGGCGATCTCGAGGTGGCCCTTCTCGCACGCGATGTACAGCGGGGTGACGCCGTCGGCTGCCTGTACG